ACACTGCTGATAGACTTCTGGGTGATGCTGATGCTTGTGGTTCAAAACCACATTTTATGAATGATTCACCTAGATGATCTCTAAAATCTCTTTTAAGCATGAAGCTAAAAATCTATGGTTTCGTATCTAGTACATGTTTTACTCCTAGATATTGTGTTTGCAAGAGATGGGAAAAAAAATGGGTAAAACTTCTCCTTTTCCTGTTTACTACACACTTTTACCTTGCTGCTTTTCCCATCAAGAGTTGGAATCTGATTTTGTATCTCCTTCAAGCTACTCTAGTCTTGACACTTGTGTTGTTTGACAGAATATGGCAGAAGTGACATTGCAAGAGTTCTGGACTAAGGTTACAAGACTGGTGGCTTTGGTTCTCCCTTATCACTTGGTGGTCAGAGTGAGCCATATGAAAAGCCTAAGATTGCATCCTTGGGGGAAGAGTAGCTATATGAAAAGAAAGACCTAGCCAATATCCAGAACCAACCACCAGACATGTGAGTAAGAGCATCTTAGATCAACTAGACCACAAAAACAATGCCAGGTAAAAGCAGCAGAAGAATCCTTCAGCTGAGTGAGCACTGCCCATCTTTTAAACTCAAGAATTCTAAGCCAGACAAGCATGTGGAACACCCCTGTAAATGCAGCATGTTGGGAATCTGAGGCAGGAGAATCACAAGTTCAAGTACTTCCTGGGCAACTTAGTGAGATCATGTCTCAAAATTTTAAAAATAGTAAAAAGGGCTGGGATTTAGCTCAATGTGAGGACCCTGGGTTCAGTCTCCATTTTATTTTAAATAAATAAAATGGTCATTGTAAACCATAAACTCTGGGATGGTTTATTATATCAAGACAAATAATCAATAAATTGTACCCTCATTTCCATTTGACTGTACACATAGAGGGACAATGGTAATTTGTGTCATGTTTCCTAACCTAGGGAATGTTAAGGGAGAGAATATAGGTAAAAGTGTGTTGTGCTCCATACACTCAAATGTGCAATCCACTGCCTTTTAAAATTATGCTTATTTTCAAGTTGTTTCCAGTGTATTTCACTGAGAAATTTTTAGTAACTAGCAACCATTGTCCTTTGAGATGGCACAGTGTTTTTCAAATGTCATGAAATATGTCTTGGTGGATTTTTTTTTTTCTCCTCATCATTTTTGGTGGGTGGGGGGAGGTGGGGGAGGGTACTGGGGGACTAAAGTTAGGGGCTTGTAATGCTAGTCAAGCACTGGATCTCTGAGCTACAGCCTCAGCCTCCCTTTAAGATTTTAAATTTAAATTTATTTTATTTTGAGGCAGAGGCTTATTAAGTTGCTCAAACTGACCTTAAATTTGTGATCCTCTTCCCTCATTCCTCCAAGTAGCTGGGATCACAGGTGTGTACTACTATGCCTGGTCCCTTTGCTCATCTTATAATATCATAATAGTGATGATCTGTGGTATTGTTTGTTCTTTTTTAGTACTGGGGATTGAACTCGGGACCTTGTGCTAGCAAGGCAGGCAGCAGAACCACTGAGCTAAATCCCTGGCCCTATCTGTGGTATTGTTGAGTGAAATGTCCCACTACGTATAACATTTTATTAGAATTATTATGTAAATCATAGGGATAGGATACTTGACATGAAAGTTTTGGGTTTACAGGATAAATTTATTTATTAAGCTATCATTCCTTTATATTAGTCCCTTTTTAATTAAAAAATAATCAACAAGTAAAAATTTTATATATGTATATAATATTATGGTATGCAGCATGATTTGATGTATACATTGTGGAATGACTATATCAACCTATTTAATATGTGATACTTCAGATGCCTATCATTTTTGTGGTGAGAACACTTCAAAAAATCTACTCTTTTCACAGTTTTTAAGTATGCAATAAATTGTTATGAATTACAGTTTAATATGGTATTTGGCAGAACTCAAAATCCCTAGCAGATCTGACAAGTTTTTTGGAAATTGTTGCAGCTACATATATATTGTCTTGAAAACCACAGGGCTGCTTGGTGTGGGTTCTTGGTACGGGTTTTAAGATCTAAATTCAGAGAGACAAATTCATTTATGGTCATAGTCTTTCTACTACTCACAAACCTATGAACAAGTTTCCAGATAGATGTTAAACCAACTAGAGAATCATTTCAGAAGTTAGTTATAACTATATTAATCCCCAGTCTAGGGGGAAAATAATTTGAGAGGAAATTATTCAAATTCTAATCATATTTATGTACCTTTATTTTCCTGTTTACATCCTATGAGTAGAAATTATATTCATAAGTGAATCAAAAGTGTAGTGTAAAGGAAAACCTTAAAGGCCAAGGAGACTGTTTCCAATGAGTTTGAGACACTTGTTATCCAAACCTGGTGTTTACTTGAACAAAATGAAGCTCATAATGTCAGATGCTGGCAGTTTTAATGGGGCCCCTGCATGCTTGGGTGGGAGTTTATCTGGAGGCTAGTCTAGAACTGGTGCCCCTCACAGGCTCCTTGGAGGCATTTCCCCAGGTGTTTTTGGTTACTCAGCAACCTTGTTCAATAGCAGTGGCTGCTAATTGGGCACAGATGAGGCTCTTGGGGCAGACTGAGTCATAGTTCTAATAGGCTAAGGATAGGTTTGTTATAGGGGAGAGGGTCATCCATAGGGAGGAGGTAAAATGGACAAGTTAAGAATAGCATGGAATGACTTGGAAAATACCCATCATCCTTAGTAGAAGAAATGTTGAGGATTAATATTACTTAGTCATACACACAAACTACACAACTCTATTGTGAGTTGAAATTTTTAGATTTATTGTAGCATCACTAAAAGCCAGGTGGGGTGGTCCACATTTGTAATCCTAGCACAATGGAAAGCTGAGGCAGGAGAAGTGCAAGTTAGCAACTTAACAAGACTCTGTCTCAGAAAAAAAAAAGAATAATAAAATAAAGCTTTGGATGTAGTTCAGTACAAAGTTCCTGGGTGCAATTTCCAGTATTGTAAAAAACAAAAACAAAAAACAATACACATAAATATAGCTAAATCCAATAGTAAGATGTAAAGACCATTATAAAGTTACACAAAAGTTAATCCTGTGGGCCCAGAAGTGTGACTGGAAATGGGACAAAAGAAGTGATTGAAGATTTTCTTGGTAGCCTATTGCCATGTATTACCCTTCACCAGAAGAACAGATGGGGATTATATGGCAAACTGAGTGCAAAATGAGAACAAATCAGCTTTATGCCAGCCTAAAGCTACTAGCCACTGGTAGTAAGAGCTGCTGTACAGACACCTGTGTGGCTGGGATAGACAGAACATGAGAAAACTACCCTTTAAAAATGTACTTGAGGGGCTGGGGATTTAGCTCAGTGGTTCCGTTGCCTGACTCACAAGTGCAAGGACCAGAGTTTGATCTCTGGTACCAAAAAAAAAAATGTGCTTGAAAGCAATAAACAAGAACACTGGGTTTAGCCACCTCAGGTTGGAGGCTTCCTGTCTCCCAGGCTTCTCCCCATCACAACCACCATGCTGGACCTTTGGATGCCTTGCTTCTTTTCTTCCACTTTGTCCCAGGTCAGGAATGGGGAAGCTCACTGAGAGTGGAGCTGCTTCCATTCTGGCACATCTCACTGCTTCCTTCAGGCCCAGATGGTGACTGGAACACACTGCCCATACCTGAAAGGGCATCCTTTAGCAGATGGCCTGGTGCCTTCTCATAACATTTTGTGGCTTGTAGCAGATCCCCATTGAACTTGGAATCTAGACCTTGTAGATAGCAAGAATTTGGTGCATTTTTTGGAGGCAGATTTTCAGCTGCATTATGTTTCTTCTCTTCCTTCTCAGATGATTTCTTGCTTATAGGAAAATGTTCTAAATAATTTTCAACTGTAATGTCTTCAGACTTCCTTTCATATTCCTGAGTGTTGCTATGGCTGGTATGAAGTTGTTGCTTCTCAGCACTGGGAAGCTCCTTACTGAATGCTCGCTGATAACATTCTTCTGCTTTCCTGAACTCAGTGAGATCACAGGGTACATTCAGAAAATTTGGCATCTTCTCAATAACTTTACTTTTATAGTCAGTAATTAATACCCTCAGTTCTTCAATCTTCTCTCTATCTCCTTTGGCTTCAGATTCTCCTGTATTCTGCACTTGCTTTACTTTTTCCTTGTAGTAGGATATAATTTGGGAATAGAGGTAGCTATTGTTTGGAGTGGAGTCCAAGGCCCTTAGAATGTATTCAATAGCTTTGTCTAGATTACCTTTTTTTCTGTAAAATTTGGCTGCACTTTGCAGGACATCTGTTTGGTGAGGAGCCTTCACCAGGGCCTCTTCAATCAGTTGTTCTCCTTCAGCTTCATTTATTTTCTGCAGTTTCAGGGCCAAGAGAACTTTGATATATTGGTTCTCAGGACTCAGCTCAATAGCCTGCTTCAGAACATTGACAGGGAACTGCCTCCATGGCTTATAATCCAGGTGGTACATTGTAATTGCTAGTCCAGAGGAGAATTCTGGGTTGTCAGGTTTCTCTTCTAGAGCCTTCTCAAAGCACACCTTAGCCCTTTCATTTCTTCTACACTTTAGTAGTGTCCATCCTTCCTCACAGTCAAGCTCAGGATATTCAATACTGTAAGGATTTGAAAACTTTTCACAGACCTGTTTTACCTTGTCAGAATAAGTCTGAGCATCTGAGAGCTGGCCCATGTGATAGTAGATCCATGCATAGTTTCCCCAGGTGACCAGACTTCGGATTTCTGCTTGCCCAGCATGTTCTTGCTTGATTAACTTTTCAGCTTGCTGTAAGCATTCCAGGGCTGCCTCATTTTGACCTTGTAGATGTTTCAGGTAGGCCAACAAGTTGTACATTGTGGCTTTGAATTCAGTGCTTAGCAATTGAATCTGGTTACACACTCTGTCTTCTAGATGACTTAAGACGCCCTCTTCCTTGAATAAGTTCCAGGTGAAGTGGCATTTTAGCTGTGGAAGGATTCTCTCCAGTGAATTCTTGGTGACTTCACTGTGGAGAAAATAAACATAGTCACTGTGATGTGCACCTGCCAAGAACTGCACCTTTTAATGGTTAAATATATATCAACTTGGCTGGGCTACAGGATGGTTAGATATCTGGTTACAAATGAGCAACTTCCCTGGGGATGTTAGACCACTCTGTGAGGCACAAGGAAGTATTCACTTTTGGACAATTATTTCCGATTGCCAGTTTCCCAGCTCTGAAATACTGTACCTGTTAAAAAGGCAATCTTTGCTTTATGTCAACATCCCTCCCATGCCTCCTATCCTTCACTGACTCTGTGCTATTTCTCCTCATGTTACATACCAATTCTACATGCTGGAAGTTCTTAAACTTTGGTGTACATGTGAAGTACCTATAGTCCTTTTCAAATACCTCACTCCTATTTCAGATCTACTGAATCTGGTTTCAGAATGCCTAAGAATTTGCCTTATAATAGAGCACTCAGGATGTTTTGGATGCAAGGCATTTGCAAAAACACATTTTGAGAGGGTGTGGACCAGAGTGGCCTGGTTGCAGGCAGGTCCAGCCAGGGCCCCACCCTGACTGTTTGGGCCCATAGGGCCCAGTCAAAGACCAACCCAGAAAAGAGGTGCACAGGTGCACCAGCAACAGCCAGCAGCCCACTCTGATATCATTGGTAAGTGCATGCAGACCCTAGCCAGAAGCCCACCCAGACACAAGCAATGGGGGTGCACAGCCCCCAGCCAAAGGCACTCTCGGACAACAGCTATGTAGGAGGGCAAGTCCTAGCCAGAGGAAGACCTAGATAAAATTTCAAGTGTGCACAGGCCCCAGGGAGAACCCTACCTGGAAAACAGGACAGCACAGGGACCCAGAAAGCCACTACTCCAAACCCAGGAATTGGTGCAGTGGTAAGCAGCTGAGAAAAGGCTGAGAATTGCAGACCACTGGCACTGGGAGAGCAAAAAGTTGCCTCAACAAAGGCACAACAGGCTGCATCTGGTGAAATGAGAAGACATATAAACAAGTCTCAAAATCAGATTTCCAGATCACCTAAGGCAACCCCAAAGGGCAATGATATGGAACAGTCTGATACTCAACCACCTGGACTCCCTGAAGTGACAATGAAAGATCTGGAAAAAAATGAAATCAGAAATAATTTCTCAGATAACAGGAGAAATTGTGCCGCTAGCGCAAGATATGATTAATAAATCCAGAGCAGACACAGATTAAAAAAATAGAGAAGCTGAGGAAAATGATGGAATCCCAACATAGGAAACAAATGGAATCCATAAAACAGATGCAAACAGATTTCCAGGAGATTAAAAACTCCACTGAAAGTTTATGCAGCAGAATGAGCCAATGTGAGGACAGAATTTCAGATATAGAAGATAAGATTGCAACTAGTGACCAGGAAAAGATAAATTTCTTAAAAATAATAAGGAACTATGGAAAATCAATCCAGCAACTGCTAGATGATGGAAAGAATAACATAAGACAATTGGAGACAATGAAGAAACAGGAAAGAGTGGAAACAGTATAAAAAAACTGTTCACAGAAGTGATGGCAGAAAACTTCCTAAGCCAGGGGAAAGAACTTGGCATACAGATAAGGGGGGCATGTAGGGCTCCAAATAGCCATGATCCAAAAAAAATCTGCACCAAGGTGCATAATAGTTAAGAGTCCAGAAACCCAACAGAAGAACAAACTTCTACAAGCAGTTAGAGAAAAGAAACAAATAACATACAAAAGAAAGCCCATCAGAATCACAGCAGAATTCTCAATGCAAACCCTCAAGGAAAGAAGAGCTTAGAGTGATGTATTTCAACCCCTAAAGGAAAACAACCTCCAACCCAGATTGATGTACCCTGCAAACCCATTTTTCAAAATTGATGGAGAAATAAGATACTTTCATGACAAAGAGCATCTTTGGAACTTCATGAATACTAAACCAGTACTCCAAAAAATTTTCAATAATATTGCAGGAAAACACAACAAGGATAACAACAACAGGAAGCCCAGAAGAATGAATCCATTGGGCATGACATGAAATTAAACTCAAAGGGGGAAAATCCAGCAAAAAGAAAAAATCATGAAAATGATAATTCAGTACATACCAGTTATAACCATTAGAGTTAATGGTCTCAATTCACCAATCAAAAGAAATAGACTATAGACTGGCAGAATGGGTCAAGAAGCAAGATCCGACAATATGCTGCATACTAGAAACACACTTAATTTAAAAACAAACTCATAGACTGAAAGTTAAAGGGTGGAAAGCAATACTCCATGCAAAAGGAGCCCCCCCCCAAAAAAAGGAGGAGTAGCTATCTTCTTTGCAGATCAAATGGATATCAAATCAACACTGATTAAGAGGGACAAAGAAGGATGCTACATTGTTGTAGAGGGAAAAATCCAAGAGGAAAAGATGACAATCATAAATATATATGCACCAAATACTACTGCACCCAACTATATAAAACAAATACTAATGAACATGAAAAGTCAAATAAGCACTAATATAATAGCAGTGGGGGATCTCAATATCCCAGTGTCACAAATAGATAGATCAACTATACAGAAAATAAACAACAAAATACTAGAACTCAAACTCTTAAACAAATGAACTTAACAGATGTTTACAGAGAGATCCACCCCACAAAATCTGAATACATATTCTTTTCAGTGCACATGGGTCATTCTCCAAAACAGACCTCACACTTGCTTATAGAACATGTTTAAGTAAGTGCAAAGGAATTGAAGGTATCCCTTGTATATTATCAGACCATAGTGCATTGAAATTGGAGATCAATAGCAAAAGAAACCACAAGAATTTTATAAACACATGGAAATTGAACAACACACTTCTGAATAACCAATGGGTCACAGAGGAAATTAAAGAA